ACGGCAGGAGATGACGACAGACTGTTCAGTATCGATGGTAGGTACAACCACCCGGTTTTCTTTGCAACACAGATTAAACGCAATAGACAGATTGAATATAGTTCTAGGGAAAGGGAAGATGCTGTAAAGTAAGTCTGCTGCATTTTCAATGCGTTGTTCTGATAGCATTCATGAACCAATCTAAAGGACAATGAATACTTTATTACTGACAAGAAAGGTTGATAAACGGGAATAACTGGCACACTCTTGATGCGGATGCACAATTAAGGAGAATTAGAAGGTCGACTGAAYTTAGAAGGTTAGAAGGTTGCCGGCTTCCTCACGACCCGGAAGTATATAAGTCGGACTGATTTTAGTTATTAAACAAAGAAGATATGAATATATTTAGGCAATGCCTAAAAGCGGAGCCTCCAATACGCAAGTCACAGGGAGCCTAATTCACAAAAAAATGATAGTTCTAAAAAGCTCGTTAAAAAAAGTCGTCATTTTCCAAGTGACGTGTGATTTGAAAGCTCGACCAATCAGCAACGCAATGTACACCTGGCTGGCGACACTTTTAGCGTTACGCAGAGGGTTCCCATGCGATGACCACGAAAACTGAGTTGCATAGTTTACCATATTCTATAACTATGATGCTCCGCTCGCGCGGGACTTCGGCCCGCGCTGGAGCTCCGATATTAATAGATAATCCTACAATAATCTACTTTCTATTTTCTTATATTTAGACTCATATTTCTTTAGATTGCCCCAAGAGCAGAAGCTCATCGAGGGGGCTCACTAAGATTTAACCAATTTCCTCCAGTTTTCTGTGGTATGTCCTCTTGTTTACCACGATTTTCGTCATCTAGCCGTGAAAATGTTGTAGACCAACGAGGCGTAGCCGAGGGATAAAAACGGTTTCAAGCGCGCGCGTGATTTGCGCATGCAATTTATTGGTATGTACTCCTAACTCCCACGGCTCTAGACCAATAAGAAAACAAGAAAATTCACAAATGTGGTAAAAAACTACTATCTATATCTCCCTTCCCAACCCGGAAGCCCATAACGCATAATGAACCAAACTAATGTTTTAATCATGATTCTCGTTTTTTACCTCCAGAGCAAACAGGCGCAGTAACTCTAAAAGGAAAGCTTGACCATGAAACTAAACCATTAATAAACCTGACTGTTATGGCGAGGGATCGTGGGACTCCTAAACTAGAGGGTTCTGCTTTTGTTGTTATAAAAGTAACTGACGTGGATGACAATGCGCCACAGTTCACGAAGGACGAATACACTGCTCAAGTTTATGAAAATATCACCAAAGGTTCATTCGTGGCTCAAGTAAATGCGACAGATATTGACGCCGATGAAGCCCACAAAACTATTCATTACAGAATAGAGGATGGCAACACAGAAGACGTGTTTGCAATTGGGGATTTGAATGGCTCTGTTTATCTCAAATGTGGTTCGTCTGGTTGCCTTGATCGAGAGACTACGAATGGATACGTGTTGACTCTTGCTGCTATTAGTATTGTGAACGGCTCTGAACAAAAATCAACAGTCGAGGTAAGGAAAATTAAACATTCCATGGTTTTCAACAATTAGGGCTTTATGGCGCATGCTCTCTCTAAATCCATGCCTAGATCTAGTGTCTTTTAGGCCTTTTTCCCTCGGTTCATTCTCCCTGTAAACCAAACTCCCCTGGTTTTTCACTAAGTTCTATCTTCTATGCGTGTTTAATGTTCCCCTTATAGATATTGCATCGTCTCCTTTTTGTCACGTACGCACAGGCTTTTATTATTCTAATTAGAAAGCGAATTATTTAATAGCCGTATTTAACTAAACGAATACTGCATGTATTCAAATCATCATGGCACTTCATTTTTTAAGGTCCAGAAGTAGAAATGTCTCGTAGATTATGTTTAAAAAAACTTTGCGATTTGAACGTACATTTTCTTTGTAGCTTAAAATCACTGTGCTTGATGTCAATGACGTAACGCCAACCTTCGTGTCTYCATCCTACACGAAGAAAGKGCAAGAAGATACTGGTGACATCACTGGGAAAGACAACACTATACTAACCATAAGTGCTAGAGATACGGACCTTGGAGTGAACTCTGAGATTGTTTATTCCATGATAAAAGGAAACGAACAAGGTAACTATGCAAATACATTCACAAAAATAAG